AAAGAACTCACAGCACCCTCCACGGTCTCCCACAGGATTCACGGCATGGCTGGTGGACCTCAGGAAAGCCTTCGACCCCCACGGCCTGCTCCTGACGGCGGCCGTGAGCGCAGGGAAGAGCACCATCGACCGAGGCTACGACATCCCCAAAGTGGCCAAGCTCCTGGACATGGTGAGGCCGAAGTGACAGGAAGTGATCGGTTGTTCTGTGTGTTGAGGTTGTCTTTTGAGTGTATGTTAAGATTGTTAGAAATGTGTAGTGTCCTGTTACAACGTTAAGTGTATATCAAGATTGTTAGAAATGTGTAATGTCCTTGTTGTAACGGTGAGTGTATATCAAGATTGTTAGAAATGTATAATGACCTGCTATAACGGTGAGTGTATGTTAAGATTGTTAGAAATATATAATGTCCTCTTACAACGTTGTGTATATTAAGATTGTTAGAAATGTGTAATGTCTTGTTATAACGTTAGGGAATTATATAGATATAAGAGATATTTGACGTGACTCATGTAAATTTGAATTGTAGATTTGCATCTGATTCTTGCATAAATAATGGTTTATATATCTTTTCTTTGTACCGGTTTTACTCACCTCATTAAATTTTCCTCTTTCGTATATTATAGCTATCTATCTATCTACCTTCCTCCCTCTATATCTATTTATCTACCTTCCTACCTCTCTATCTATTTATCTAATCTACTACCTGATATCTATTTATCTAACCTATCTACCCGTCTATTTGTCTATCTCTATATAAATTTATTGGAATATTTTGCTGATTTTTTTTCAACCAGATCAACCTCATGTCCTACGATTTCCACGGGTCCTGGGAGAACCGGGTGGCTCACCACGCCCCCCTCTACGCAGACCCGGGTCAGAACCCCGAACTGTGCGTGGACTTCGCCGTGAACTACTGGATCAAGAAGGGGGCGCCTCCCCACAAGGTAATGCAGCCTAGGAGATGATTATAGTTTTTGTCTGTTTTTGTTTTTTATTGGTTGTTATTATTGCCAGTTCACACATAATATGAGAGATAATTTTGTTTTCAGTTTTGTTTTTGCTTTTATATTTATCTCATACGTAATTCCATTTCACGGTATAATAAATTGATGAATTACCGACAGCTGATAATGGGTGTGCCAGCCTACGGAAGGACTTGGACGCTGGCAGGGTCTGACACCTCCCCAGGCGCGGCCGCGGCGGGAGCGGGGCGCGAGGGGCGGCACGTCAGGGAAAGAGGGAGTCTGCCCTTCTTCGAGTGCTGTCTGGCGGAGAAGGTATCTTAATAATGGCAGAGATATGGCAGGCGCTCCTTGCCTTGCCCGTTGAGAAATGGCAAAGAGAGGACAGGCGCTTTTGCCATGCGTTTCTGAGAGCTAGCAAAGAGGGGCCATTTTGCCATGCCTTTTGAGATTTGGTGAAGAAACGGCAGGCACTTTTTAGCCTTGCGTCCTGAGAATTGGCATAGGGATGGCAGGCGCTTTTTGCCATGCCTTTGTCTACTAGTTTTCTTGTTTGTTTGTTTTTTTCGTGTGTGTAGTACATATCCTTACATGTTCTCCACAGATACCGTTTCCTTGGACAATTTCCATATAAAAGTACACCCAGACACTTGTTACACTAAACACCCACTTACCACATCCCCTTTCTTCACACCTGCTAAAACAAGGGCCTTTGATATCACCTGCAGGAAGGATGGACGAAGAGGAGGACCCAAGCAGGACCTTACCTGACGAAGGGAAACCAGTGGGTCGGGTATGACGACGTTCAGTCTGTGGTTCAGAAGGTGAGTTGTTCTGAAGCTTGAATGAACCTTTGCAATGCGTACAGTCTGCTATGTGGTAACGGTTAGAAGTCAAAGTGATGGTGATAGTAATATGATCCTAATATTAATAATAATGAAGATGATGGTGATACAGATGATAGTAATGATGATGATGGTGATAATACTGATGATAACAGAAATAATAATGATGATGGTGATAATACTGATAATAACAGAAATGATGATGATGGTGATAATAATGATGACAGAAACGATGATGGTGATAATACTGATGATAACAGAAATAATGATGATAATGATAATATCAGTAATAATTATAATAGCAGTTATAATAATGGTTGTAATGATGTCCCTTTCTTTAGGTATGAAATATTAATTTAGAAAATGTCAGTGTCATTTCTGCAGCCGTTAATCTCTCGGGAATCTATCAGTGTTTAGGGGGAGTCATTTTTATTTGTCTATTTGCAATTAATTTCAAATGTTCCTGTGCATTTTCTTACTTTATTTTTTAACTTCAGTCAACTTCAATATAAAATTTCGTAATTCTGAGCATTATCAAGATCTATAAACCTTGCGTGAAGGACCCACAGTTCATTCTACTCCGACTGGAAATAAAAAGAGAAACTGGCACCATAAGCCCAAGCGCCATTACCGCAAACCATCCGTATGCGATGATAGAGCTTAGACTTCGGATTAAGATGTCTGTAACTTATTTATTAACCATAACAGCATCTGTTTTTTTTTCAGTTAGATTGTAAATCTATTACTTGTATTATAATTTCGGATAAATTCTTACATCATGATACACAGGAATTAATTGATTATAAAATCAGTCAAAGCCGAAATCATCGTGCTATCATCGCATTCGTACCATCTGTGGCAATGGCGGTAACTCTGCTTCCGTCCGCAGGCCCAGTACGCGACGGACATGGGCCTCGGCGGCGTCATGATGTGGGACATCACCACGGACGACTTCGGGGACGTCTGTGGTGAGGGCAAGAACCCCCTCCTGACGGCCATGGTCAGGACCCTCCACGGCGACCCGCCCTCTGTCCAATCCGTCTCGCAGCACAAGGGTAGACCTTCGTCAGGAGCCAAGCCTTCGCCTTCTTCGTTTAGGGATCCTCGGCAAGGCGGGGTGTCCTTCGGAAGTCAAGGAAGTGGGAGTCCAGGGGCAGCGCCTGCGGGAGGAAATGCGGCTCTCGAAGGAAGTGTGAGAACTACAACTCCGGGAAGCGTTGGGGATGGCGAGACTACTACGCGAGTTGCTTCGTCAGGACCGACGACCGAATTGCCCTATCCTTGGCTCGCATGGTAAAAGTCTTTGCATATTTGTATAATCATGGAGACTCCACGTGTAGTATATCCATTGCCAAGTCAGCGTCTTATCTGTCAATTCCGCTGACTTCGATCTCTCTCTCTCCCCAGGCCAGTCTTCAGCAGGTCACCGGAGGACATACGGAACTTCAATGCCATCTCGACCACAAAGGCGCCCCTCCGCTCTTTTCAAACTCCGTCTCCGCTTACATCTCGAGCTCCTGCTTTTCCATCCTTCACTTCCTTCACCTCTCCTCCCTCCTTTCCTTCGTCTCCTGCTCTCTCTCCTTCCCTCTCTTTGTCCCCCTCGATAACTTGGTTCGGAAACTGTCGTGACGAGGGCTTTGCACCCGACCCGGCCTCCTGCTCCTCCTTTTACAGATGCACTGAGGAATTCGCCTATAAGTGAGTAGTAATGATCGGCCGGTTTGTTAAAATCGTACGAGGCCCAATGAATTTTCTTAAATACAGACACACATTTAAGCAGAAATAAATCTATATTTGTCTATATATCTGATATACGTTTAACAATCATTTTGCCCGGTTGATATGCATGTCTAGACGGATAAATATGCATTTATTTCTTTATTTATGCATGTCAAGTTCACGAATATTCTTTGGGTCGGGCCTCGCACAATTTTAACAAACCATCCGTATATCATGATTGTTGTGGTCGCAAGATTTCGAAATAGGTCAGATGTAACCTAATAGCCTGATAGTTCAGCGTTCCTTATTTTATATCCAATCCAAGATCAGTTACTCTAGTTGCGATACAAATATTTAGATTTAACGTTCACCTTGACATCGCTGTAGAGGATCCCTTACGCGTGATTTTCTCCCTCAGGTTCTCGTGTCCCGGAGGTCTTCTGTGGAACCATGACCAGTCCTCGTGTGACTGGCCCAGGTCGGTCCAGTGTGTGTTGCCCTTGACCCAGCCTGACCTGCGGCCTTTCCTCCCGCCTGAAATAATTTAGAAGTCGAAGAACTTAGGATTAAGCTTGAATGTACCTGCACGCGCCCTTCCGGTGTTATTCCGGCGACACTACGAGACAACGAAATTATCATTCATTTGCGAAAGTCACCTGATACTTATGCATTACAGTATTTGCCGATTATATACATATTTTTTACGTTGTAAGTTAGCAGATATATACAATATGCCATACACATTATATTACATTTAGATGCTTGCCTTGGCCATATTTTGTAAAGAGATAAAAGCTTAGCTAGCACATTTACCAACGATACGGTAGCTCAGTGATTCTTAACCTTTTAGCACTGTGCTTCCACAAGGTACACCCCAGACACTCGGAGTGATATGGGTAATCAAATAATGTGTTCTGGTAATCTGAAATCTCCGTAGGTAAACAAAGCATTACTGGGCTGACTAAAGAAGAATTTGGTTGTGCATGTGTAGGGGAAACTACCCCAAAAATAAAGAAAAGATTAAAAATGATTCATTACTTTCCTGTCTGAGTTTTTGATATCTATGCTGTCTTTATTTATTAATTTGTATGGTTAATAAATGAAACGTAGGGAACTGGACGCTACAAACCTTATACAATGAAAATACAAAACAGAATGAAGTGAATCCCTATTAGTGTACTGTAAAAAGAAAGCTCGACTTATATATTTTGGTAAACATACACATCCACTGATTGAAGATATATGGTAATATAGATGATAACGGTTAGTTTTTTTTAAGAAAAGTAAGATGTAAAACTAAACAGGCAAAGACAGCAATTGCGAAATAACAAGAATTGAGGAAACTGTTAACAGAATTGAGGAAACTGATTCTGATCTCAATATCTTAAACAGCAATTATTTTTTTGCACAGGTGAAAATGAGGCAGAACCGAAAATCAAAGTGTTTTTGAATCTTTACACGAACCACATGATTTAGCAGATACTGTGAGGAATTCAATTAGTTTTTGATTTCGAAAATATATATATAAAGTCCGGTGGCAGAAAGGATAAACCCGAATTTGAGACATACAATGTTTTGTTGTTGTTGTTGTTTCTGGTAGATCTGGCCCTACTGATGAAAAGTCGGTCGAGTGCAAAGTTCACACCTTTGACGATTTTTTTTATGACCGAAATTCAAAATGGCCGCCGTCGTTAACTCATTAATGGCTAAAACTCGGCCTATTTTTGTCTCAGGATTATGGTATTGGTGTCATATCCTATTCTTTAGGGGTTAGAAATCGACAGAAACATATTCCATACACTTCCGGTGGTATTTTACTCGATTTCCCTCAAATTCGCGGACATACTTCATACTGGTAATACATAAGGATCTTTTATTAATATATTGACATCAGATATGTGTCTCCCATGATGTCTTTTTTATGATGCCCAGCAGATGCCATTTTCCTCTTTCTCTGGGGCATTATAACTACATAAGGCAAGTATTCTGATATTTTCATGTTCACTTTCAAACACTTCGTAGAAAAAGAGGTTACTTGCTCGACATGTCTTATTCGTTCTGACTAAGTATGTATATATATATAATATATATATATATATATATATATATATATATATATATATATATATATGAATGTTATAAAAAAATAAAAAAATACTGATGCTGATAAGTACAACAAAAAAGCTCTAAACGACACAGTTCATTGTCATTCTGTTACACGCTGTTCATTTCGTCACTGAAGCTTCTACTTCGTAAGCAATTCCACTAACCTTGCTCTACTGACCACTGTCTCGGAACCGTCAGTCGAAGCTTCAGAGGCCAGGCTTTCAACTCTTCGTAAGCAATTCCACTAACCTTGCTTTAAATAACTTAGGAAGCGTCCGTCCTGATAGGAGAACTTCATTGTGTATTTCGTGATGAAGATTCTAAGTTTTGAGGAAAAAAGGTCTCGTGACAAGACTTTTCTGTCTGATTCTGATTTTTGTTTGTATTTCTTGTTCGCCTGTATGTTTGCTTCCATATGAACAACAGCTTCTTAATTCTATTGCTGATTCCTTGTTATCTTTTTGGTATCCTTGCTGCTGCTCCTTAGTCTCTCTCTCTCTCTCTCTCTCTCTCTCTCTCTCTCTCTCTCTCTCTCTCTCTCTCTCTCTCTCTCTCTCTCTCTCTCTCTCTCTCTCTCTCTCTCTCTCTCTATATATATATATATATATATATATATATATATATATATATATATATATATATATACACACATATATATATACGTACATACATAAGTGTTTCTTATGACCTTTTCCATCTTCTTAAAAAGTCGATATCTTACCATCTGTGTGTGTGTGTACATACATACATACATATTTATACATAAATATAAATATATATATACATGAATATAGAGATAGATATGAATATAGATATAGATATAGATACACACACACATATATGTGTGTGTGTGAAATATATATACATATATATGTGTATATAGATATAGACAGATTAAAATAATAATAATAATTTAAAAAAAAAACAATATATATATATATATATATATATATATATATATATATATATATATATATATATATATATATGTTGGTGTGGACGCGGTGATGTCGTCAGTGACCTCCAGCCAACCAACAGACCAACATGGTGTGGATAGTTTCACCGTCAACTCTCATTGCCGACATGTCTCTCAACATTATAATAAATGTCCCCATATATCATGAGATCTGTATCCGAATGTCTCCTATTGTGTCCCCCACAATGTTCCCAATTTGTCTCCAAGCAACACGTCACTGGTGTGAAGGTATATATATATATATTAGGTATGGTGTATGTTTGTGTTTGTGCATGCATTTGGGTATGTATGTGTATATGTATACTCTACATAGCATGTTCACATTCGTTACTACACCGTTATCATGGCTTTTATGTCTGCCATTCTACTTGAGGCTACGGTACTTCTCATAAGATGTGGTTGATCATGAAGTAGAATTTGGTGTAAAATAATTCTTTAAAAAGATTATTTAAGAACCGGTAGTTCATGAAATTTTACATTTATGTAAATAATATATACATGTATTTACATATATATATATATATATATATATATATATATATATATATATAATATGTATATATATACATATATGTATGTATGTATGTGTGTGTGTGTGTGTGTGTGTGTGTGTGTGTTGTGTGTGTGTGTGTGTGTGTGTGTGTGTGTGTGCATAATGACCAGAAGTATATCGTATATCTGTTTATTTGCGGAATGACAAGATTTGTAAAGAGCTCCTGAAATCTAGTTCGGTTTAGCCCTTCAAACCGTGTATATTCCATTTCTATATTTCCCAAGATTAGGGAGGGGAGTCAGAGCTCACTATTATTTCCTAAACCAACTTGTGTTAATACAGTGTAAATGAAAAAAAAAAATTCATAGATAAATTGGTCATCATTACAATTTTTTATTTATTTTTTTTTTATTGAACACGAGTATACGTGTCCAGCATTTCGTTGTTTCAATATTTGTTACTTTCATCAACTGAACCAATATGTAGTAGTAAAACATTGGAATGATTATGCATTAATTTAATATCGCGTTAGCCACAATCATCATTGCACCAACGAATATATTATTTAAGCTCGCTGCCATCTGAGGACGTGACGGCGAGACACGTTCTGGGACTTGAAAACGTTCTTGACAAGAAATACAGCGCTACGTGTCGGTAAGTGTAAGACATTCTTTTCGAATTTTACACTTCGCTGTAGAAGAACAAGGCTTCTTACGGCCTTGCAGTGAACATAGGGTTCAGTAAGTGAGTATAAGAGTCACAATACCAAGGAACCTGTAGGAGAAGCGAGGTTTATAAAAAATACTTGACAGTGCGGTACGGGAGCTCGGAAACTATATGGATTGTTTCGTGAATTAAAATCGTTATTTTCGTGTTTTAAGGTTGTTGTGTAGTGAGTAGTGTGAATGTGTCTTTGGTGTCGTGGTGTTGTGTGTGTGATAATATCGAAGTAATAGAATATTATTCCTTTCTCCACAATTATTCGTGTTCTCAATTCTATTGCTGACCATGTGTGCTAAGCTTCGAGAGAGTAATTGGAGCATAATTATAATGTATTTTTTATAGTTTTTGTTATACTCTTTATGTTCATTTTTATTCCTGTTAGTTCGAATCCAAATATTTAATGTATAACAGACTAAACCGATACTTTGGTGGTCAAACTCTAACAAAATATTATTATTTCTCTTTGTATCTTAAACTCACTCTTTCACAAGATGTGATCCGCTCTTCTCCAACTGGGGTCCATATACTAACTAGAGATAGTGGCTCAGTTCATTCACTCTCACTATTGTCATGTCGTTTATTTTTGTGTTGTGATGTATTATATTTGGCCAAAATAGATTGTTGGAGTTCTGATTCTGAATAAATATTAGATAAATTACGATGAAATAAGAATTATGATAAATCATTAGTATTAGTATTGGAACATAATTAATGTAAAGTAATAGATTTGTTTTCCTTTTTTTTTTTTGATACATATTTAAGGAAATGTATTGACAGGCCAGTTTAATTGCTGTAGTTAGAAATAAGATGAAGCATATTTTATCTGAAGGTGAGTTACTTTAGGTGTGTTGGTAAGTTTTACTTTAATTTTATCTGGCTGATTATCACCGACTCTTTAGAAATGAAGATGTTTCCCCTAAAATATACGTTTTCTTCGAATAAAATTAAATGCAATCGTTTTCTTTGAATGTCCTAATACCGAGATGGCTGATTTGGAATAGGTGGTATGTATGGAGATAAATATTGAAAGTTAATCCGAATTGTGTCCGAATGCCCAGCCAGGCGTACTTTTCAACTGCGAAAAGCACCGCCCCCAGACCGTGCATGCCTCTCGCTTGAGGAACACCACGCAGTGCTTTTCGTTTGAGCGACATGGAACACATGATCTGATCTGACCGTAGTTTCGTGTTTCATGGCTGCTAATTTAGTGAAAGAACGGAAGCCCATTTACTCATTTCAAATTAACGGCAGTCAGGCGGGCCGTCGATGCAGATGTAGATCCTCTTTCAAATAAACCAGTTCTTGTTTATTTGTTTTTGATAAAGACAAATATTGTTTTATATAAAATCTTTAATATAACTTTTGTCGGATCTAGAGGTATTAAAAAGCAAATTACAGACAAAAGTGTTTACTTGTACACTGGCAAGCTCGGAGATACCCGAAGAGAAAGAACGCTCCAGGTGGTTATCGCTGGCTCCCTCAGCCGCAGATTTCGCACCAAAGTGACGCGATTCGGCCCAGAAAGCCAGGCAGTTTCAACGATGACAATAATCAGGGTTGTAGGCAATGATGGAAGGGAAGGCAACAGACGTTAAGCAAATATTCGCATTTTATTCATTGATAAAATACTTCTCATTCTATATATATTTTTTTTTCACTCAGAACTTGTGTAAAACGCAAAGTAAGCCACTTGGAGTTTGTCTAACTTAAATACAACAGATTA